AATTTGTAAAACAATATTTAAAAACATTAGTTTAGCTGTTCAGTTTTATTTTAATTTTTTATTTTAATTAAAATACTCATGTTTTCAGACGCATAGTCATTGATGTCTAATTTTGTTAACTCTATATTGCTTAGTAGCGTCATCTAGTAGTTAAAATCGTTAAGAGTTGAAAGCGACATCTTGTGGTGCATGTATTTTAATTTCAATCATTTGATGTTCGTTTACTTGCTTATCTTTTTTGTTACAATACTTTTAGACTAGATGGCGTGCGTATATAATATTTTTTTGATAATATGTTACACGATTTAAGATTTAATTTTTTTAACTAGTGTTATATTATTATGGATATATGTATCAATATTATATAGATAAATTGATAAATTTACAAAATAAGATTACTTTTTTTATTACCAGAATCTGTTTAGCAACATCATAACACTGTATCAAATTATTTAAATTTAAATAAGTTGCCTGTAGATGTCACTAGACGTAGTTAATGTAGTTACGGGATGGAGACTTACGATATACTTATACAAACATAAAAATAGTATAATATAAAAACGAGAATTAAATTACTACTTAAAGTACCAACTAAAACTAACAACAAAAAGTTTTGCAAAAAAACTATGGAATATTTATGAGTTTTAAAAATGCTAGAGATAAAAATGCGAAAGCTCACAATTGAAAATGTTTTTGTGGTTTAAACTATTTGTTTTTCTTTTAAGGAAACAGACGTCAGCAGAATAGAACGACGTTAAGCAAAATAAACGTCAGACGTTTTCAGTGGAATAATAGATTTGTGGATTTTTTCTTAAGTCATTATCACTCCATTGTTTTTGGCTACGTTTCATTTAATACTGTAATTATTTCATTTTACTCAGTATTAATAGAGGCACCTCCAGGGCATCACCGCGACTAGTTCCAAGGCTGGTAGCTCTCAGCCTCTGTTTAATATATTTCATGTCATGTTTGATACGCCCGTCATCCATCACGATAGAGTAGAGGAGTGCGCCCAGCGTATTGTAGGCAAACATTAAGCCGCGTTGCGGGAATGGATTAATTTCCACAATTGTCCGTTATTCTGAATCAGACAGTTGCTATCAATGGGCATTATGGGCAAGGATTAGGCCACACCCCGTCTCCATTCCATTCCGCAGCACAATGGTCAGCGATCGGGCCGATCTGCATTTCAATTGCGAAATATGCGTTGGTGAATTGGTGATAACATCTGAGGGCAGCGTATCTGTGCAGGCGTGCACCGAGGTATGCGTCAAGCGGTATATACAGACTATAGAATACAATATACTGGAACATATGATGGATTTATATATTGTCTATTACTGCAAATATATGTTCTACACAAGAATCGGAACTGTGCAGTTCAATCTCTACATTAGATTCTGCACCAGACTCTACGCTGTGTTCTATACTCTAGTAGACTAAGACTCTAGATATATTGGTGGCTTATAATTTTAGCTCTAAGTCAACATGTCGTGTTTTCCTGCGCAATATTGAGATTAAAGTACATGTGATGCCCTGTGCAAATGTGTGGGAAGTCGGTGGATGCAGTTTGAGGGGCTAAGCTCTTTTTTTTCTTTTTTGGTAGAAGGGGGGGGGGGAGGGATCTTCAATGATACCCTACCACCTAACATGACAAGGTTATGTGGGGTTCGGTAGTCGCCTATTACGACAGGCAGGAAAGGGATACCTTAGCCCTATTCTATGAGGCCGAGACTACAGGGCTTAGGTACCCTGGACCCTCGCCCTGTGACCAATTAACCTCAAATGTCGACTACTACATTAGTAACTAATAGTCTAGCAACAAACTTTAATCTCTACATAAAAGATAAATCGCTGAATCTGTTGCTAAGCGCAAATCTCGAGAAAAGCTGAACCGATTTTGCTAATTCTTGTTTTTTTTATAATATTCCTTGAAGTATGAGGATGGTTTTTAAAGAGAGAATAATTAAAAAAATTCCCTGTAAAAGTCTAAAAACAACACTTCTATATTCCCATACAAAAGATTACTAATAATACTTAAAAGTCAATTTGAACTTTAATACCATACTATAAAGTTTAAGTGTTAGTGGAGGGGTTCCGGGAAAGCAAAAAATTGAGTGACGTTAGTATCGTATAAATATTTGTCAAAAAAATGTCAATATTTGTCATTTTGTAATATTTTTTACTATATAGAGTGATTCAAGAGGAAGGTTTATATGTATAATACATTGCACCCGTGCGAAGTCGGGTGGGTCGCTAGTATAATATAGATTTGATGTCAGATAAGTAACATAAGGTTTCGTACCTTGTCAGAATCTTAGGAAGATGAAGGTCTGCGGTTTTAAATGTTAAAACAACAGATCCAAAAGTCATCGTGTTACATTGTAGTGTTCTGTTTTGTTTCGATAATTTGAAAGTTGGACAGCACTGGCTACCTCTGAATAGTCTTATATTAGGTTTGAGTTAATAGATATTAAAGCTTAATTTGCTCACCTAATTAAGTTTATTTTAGTGGAACTGTGTTAGGAGACAGATTCTTTCACATTGGTGGTGTTAACAAAGTTGTTTCAAATAGCAATATCGAAATGAAAGAAGGAGATCTCCACGAATTACAATTAAAAAAGTATTCTGGACTTTAATGTATAATAATATCTCTGAAACTAGTAAAAAGATTTCATGAAACTTTTTAAAAAAAAATATTACTTTTTCACTCAGTGCTGTCAAGTATATTTTATCAATCCATGCGATGCCGATGCATGTAGTCTTAGCGCCTTAGTTCTTGGAAACTAATCTATAACTCAAACTAAAATAACAAATGTGCAAAACTATTATTTTTAATATGAATTTCAATTAATATGAACCCAGCGTAACTGTAAATGGAGATAAACGAAATTTTCACAAGTGTTATATAGAAAAAACAGTTCTTTATGTAGGATACATAGTGATGAGAGGAGTGCCTACATGTGTACATGTATGAGAGGCACATCCCAAAACGAGGTTGCCTCCATTAATCACGAGTATTATGAAATGTTGCTGTCTGGTGTACGCGGTCCGGAAGTAAAAACATTTAGCATGACAACGCGAACACATCTCGGCGACGCATGATTGATGTTACTTGTAAACGGGGGCAAGTGAGATATTCGTTTGTTTTTTTTTATTGTAAAAACGCTGTGATAATCCATACACATACCTATACTACATTTATAACATAAAGGGATAAAACTCTGTTTGATTGTAATGGGTAATATTAGTATCTAAAGATCGTCGACGTCAAATAAGAATAAAATAATGTTTCCGCGTTTATAAGTTATTCATAAAATAAATGTGACATTTATTTTTAAAACTCGATTTTTGCTGTTGAAGTTGGAAGAAATATCTACAATTACTTTTGTACAAATTTTAAGCTTTTTTCAATTGTAAGATTTTAAATAAATTCAGTAAAAGTTTAAACAAATGAAATTACATAAAAATATTATTAGGAAGGAAATTGATAATTCAATTGTCTTTATGAAGAACATCCTCTTAAATTAAGTTACTTGAAAACTGAATGAACAGCGGAATTTCTGACACTTCAAAGAAGTTTGGAGTGCGCGGAGTGAGGGCTGTTTGAGCCTCGCTACGAATTTAATTACCTCTAACCACTTGTCAAAAACATAAAACACTATCAATATATTGTGTGTGAGTTTAATAAACTTTTTAAAATCCTGACCAAGATCAGATTCTTAACATAGATTAATTATAAACAAATGTTCTATTAGTTAAGCCAGATCTATAGTTTAAGTACACGATATTATGAATGAGTCATGTCAGCCTGCCACGATTTATGCCGCATGAACCTATCTTGCTGTATCTTTTGTGATTCATACTGTGCGCGTATCTTCAAGACAAGACATCGGTCTTTATCGAGCTAGTTCGTTTATTGTCTATAATTGTCAAACACTGTGCGTTAAAAATAGAATAGGTTTTATTTATGAAATCAAAACTAAATGGCGGTTTTGTGTGTTGTGTTCAGGTGCCATAATTTAGGTAAAATAAAATGTTTCGTACCGCATTCCGGGATTTTAGCTCTTCAAATTATTGACTTGTAAATGTTAGTGATTCATAATGTTATAAATCGATTGTAGTGCGTTTTACGGAACGTATGTACAGTTGTGTGTCTTGCCTATTGCCATCTTGATTTCTGAATTGGGGAAAACTTTTGGCACGTAAACCTCAACACACTAATAATGGTCACCATTATCATCCATAGAAGAGTTATGGCACGACGGTCCATTTCGTCTTGCCTTTTCATAGGTTAGAACTGCACCGCCATTACTCATGATAACATATTATTAGCTTTGTAAATCAAGTTATGCAAAGGTTCACTCAAAGTTTATCCCTAATTGGGTAGAGAAAGCTCCTTGTGAAAAGACCATTTCAATGAACTTATCAATAGCAATTGGTGCTTGCAAATGGGTTCTTGGTCTGAGTTCCCCAGTTCTCTAGTCTTGGTGGACCACGACGTTTATTGGAACCGATTTCATTTGCTAGCCGTACCCGATTTTCGTCGGTTGACCGTACCGCATCTGTTTAATAGATCGCAGCGGGCGCGTCTCGCACAAAACATACGCCAGTATCATTTGACAATTTGTGAGCAATCACTGCATTGTCGCCGCTCCTTTATTCCGACGGCGGATAATACATGGAAAATTGTCATTGCCTTTGTGGCCGGGCCATTGTTGCCCTAATGGCGGCGTTCCGATTTAGTTTGCTTCGAAACCGGTCATCAGTGCGAACTTGGACGTGCTGCGGTCAGCCTTACGTGGACAGAACTCACACTAGTGCCTGAACTCTAAAGCAAGAGCGTGTAAATCTGAAACGTGAGGGGAATAGATCGAATTATAAAATCGCGATAAGCTCGTGACTGGAATAGAGCGTCACGCAGAAGAATCAATCTAAAGGTACAATGCACGTTGCAGTCAATCAAAACGTAATCTACATTAAAGACTTTCGATAATGCAATGTACAAAACAGAGGAAGCTGAGCTGTCATTAATGGCGTATCAAATGGAACAACAGTCGTTTAAACCCACACCGAGGATGTCAAGAAACTCAAATCCTTATCACATAAAAAGGCCGATGAACGCATTCATGGTGTGGTCGAGGCTGCAGAGGAAGAAGATATCAATGATGAATCCGAAGCTGCACAACTCAGAAATATCTAAACGCCTGGGCCTCGAGTGGAAGAGCTTGGACGAGACCGAGAAGAGACCATTCATAGACGAGGCGAAGAGATTAAGGCTAAAGCATATGCATGACCACCCCGACTACAAGTATCGTCCACGGCGCAAGAACAGATTAGAAACGCATTTTGTCACACCCAATGTGTACACGAGGGACGCTTTCATAGAAGTAGAGCCACGAGCAGACGCCTCCTACCAAATTCCAATCAACTACACCGACCATCAGTTTGTTTATAACAATATGATTAGTTACCAGATTCCTGCGATCTCACAGACGTCCTTCCCGAGCGCAATAAGACAAAAGGAGGAGGCGTTGCCAAGTTTGGATTTGAGGCCTCTGCCATCTATTGAAAGTATATCGCCGCGGCCCTTCGTCGTGAACCAGCAGATGATGGTGAAGGCATACCAGGATTTGCATTACGCACCCACCGACGTCACCCGAATCTCGTACCACTATCCGTTTGGTGTGCAGTAAATTTTAAACGGACTAACTATAGCGTAGTATATCGTAAAAGTCAACACAACTGCCAAGTGCAGGAAGGAAACGTATGTGCCAACTGTTTTGTGTGTGAAAGTTGTAGACATTAGTAAAATCTTTGTAGTTTAACACTTTAAATTTATAGCTTTTAGCCAAGTATAGCGTCAGATGCCTTTGAAAATATTTGTTTTCGCGGCTACCGGATAAATAACAATAACATACTTCAACAGATTCTTGGATTTATTGACTTCTTGATTTTACGCGAATAATATACATATATTAAATAAAACCAGTTTACGGATTTTATCGCGTTTTTATTTTGTAATTCTCGACCTTTTGAACCCTTTTCAGTCTGTCCCGTGACCATCAACACTGGAAAAGGTTCGAAACGTCGGGAATTACAAGATCAAAATAAAACCGCGATAAAGTCCGTAAACTAGTTTCATTTAAGATTCTTGGATATTTTTAAAAGTGTTAATAAAATATTAAGAGAGATAAATCTTAAACTCTCAATGGATTTAAGCAATCATTGAAATATTATGTTACCCAGAATTCCGCAGATCTTGCGGCAGATGCATACATTGAACCCTTAGTATCCTCGTTTATAATTAAAGTACATATGTTCTTTAGATCCAAATAAAATGCTGGGTATTTGTGTGGTTATAAGAAACTAAAATGTTCCTTTGTTGCTATTATTGAGTCTTTAGGCCTAGCGCATAAAAAGTCCGCAAGTCAAACTATAGCACAGATTAACTTTGAGTCAGAACCAAATTCATGGCAATACGTTGAAGGAATTTAATCGTCAGATTAGGTTGGTAATAATTGATAGTTAAATTTACTACCGATAGGTTTCAGCTTAACTTCTTCTATGTTTTAATCTCATAATGGTGAAGTATTTGTATAAGTTACAAGTGGCCAACAGGATAATCTGAAGACATAGTGGGGGTTATTATATTTGTAGAATAAAGTATGACATGCAGCACTTGTTGTCTATCATAGTAATCAGTGATTTCTGTAATTTAATAAATCAATTAGTTGAGCAACTCATCGTAACTGACATAATAATGTATATAATGACGATATTCGTAAGTGTAACATTTTAACTAAACGTTTTTTATTACTTGAGTAACAAATTTTGTGGTGAAGATAGCAGTTGAACAAAATTAAGTAGACGTTGTGTGATCAAAACGCTTTGGTTGATTAACATTTTGAGTATTTTATGTCAATCAGAATTACGTTGATGAAATTTAAAATGATTATTCCAAATGTCTCCCATGCCACAATTAATATAATCCTAAGGCTAAAATATAGGTAAAATAATAATAATAACAATGGGTTTGTTTACCATATACAAGTTAAAAGAATTGCGATCTTGTATAAATTAGTCCAGTTAGAGGCATTTTTAATTATAACATTACCAATAAAATAATTTTGACGTCAGTGAGACTTTGATTTAAGATATTTGCAGTATTTTTCAGAAGTCATAATGATGAAGACTACGGAATTTGACTTTTAAGTTTCTTTGAAGCAAATTATACAAGGCGCGGGTGATTGGAGTACGTTCAAATTAGTGTTTTGTTGCCTTGAATCTAGATCAAATAATAACACATAAAAATCTACACAAAAATGGCCAAAAACCTAGCACTGGCTATGTTTGCTCTAATTTTAATAGTAATTAATTTGTCTTATTTCTTGCAAATTTCAATTCTTAACATAGTCTTTGAATTTAAAATCTTAAGAAATGAAAGTATTCAAAGAATTTAATCAAGTTCTAGTTTTATAAATTCTCCACAGTTAGCTGACAAACTTGTTTTATGTAATAATCTAATATTGATCAAATAAGAAACGTGTAATGTTATGGTTAACGCGTACTAACGTCACTTTAATTAGGTATTTATTTTGTTCTGACGCCTGAAAGATAGCTCATGTATTTTGAGGTCTTGGAGTGTTTGTGACCATCACCTGTATTAAAATCTAGATGATTTTTTATTTCAGTAGTCGCAGTATATTCTTCGGAGATATATGAATTCTTTTGGGAGGAATTTGAGGTTTAAAATTAGATGTTTGAATGTGGCAGCCTTCGTCAACAGTCGGTGCCTAAGGTCAGCTATGTAGAAGAACAAATATAGTTTTTTTTTTATATATAGTAGTTTTTTGCTTAGGAATCTCAGTAACTGAAAAAAAGTCCAACGCTATTAATATTAATGGTTGGAAAGCGACCATTATTGTTTGCTATTATATGTTATTTAATAAATTTCAACTCGATAACATAACAATCAATATCTTTTAAAAATTTCTCCACGAAAGATTTATTCTAGTATTGAATTAGCCATTGGTCAGTGACCTGATAGTCGTCATTAGCTTATTGTCTGCGTGCTCGCTTTTAACACAATATCCTCGAGCAACCTGAGTTCGAACCCGTTGCTGACAGCAAGTCAGTGTTAATTTTAAGTGCTAACTTATGACGTGCTCTGTGGTGAAGGTGAAAATCTGCATATTTTCAGAATAATAAAAAAAATATTTCGAAGATGTGTGAAATCTGCAGTGCAGATTCAGAGTGCAGATTTCTGATAGTCTGTCATGCCACCCCACTGCAGACTGTCAGTCTGCAGTGGGGTGGCATGATGGACTGTGCCCTAATACTCACTGTACAGAGGAGGCTTTTGACCAGCAGTGGAATATATATAGTCTGTTACTACATAATTCTAAAATGGTCTATTGATTGGTTTTGAAGGGAAACATCGTAAAGAAACCATATTGTCTGGGGCATATTAATAGAATCCGCATGCACTTTTGTCTTACTATACAGCTTTTACAAATTATTATACACGGCAGACATACATGGTAAATATTAGTAGTTTAGTCCTTTCGTATGTTTGTTTCATACAAGTACTCGCGTAGGAAACAAACACATAGGAAACTGGAAACGTAACGTTCATCAGATCCGTGTCATTTCCGGTTCGCGAGAGTCCAGGACTCGCTGCGTCACTCGAGGCGACGACAGATTGATGGTACTGCGTAATTGATCGTCGGGAGGGAGCGGTGTGGAGGGGGGGGATGTTTTCGCTATCGGTAATACCTTCAGCGTCTAGTCTAGTAGTTGCGACAGGATATTTTCTGAACCTCCCGTTTTTGTACAAAACATCCCCAAGCGATAGAAGCGGGATTTCGGTAAAGATGGGAGAGAATTCGAAATCCTACTTGCATAGGGTTGCTTTAGTGGTCTTTACTGAATAAGATGGTAAAAAACGTTAAGGAATTAACCAGATGTGTTACAACTGGATATCTATAACATCGATAGAGATGCATTTTCGTCGCTAAAATGTACTATTAAAACTTAAAAGTTGAACTTATCTTTTGTCAATGAAAGTGTTGTAAAACGATGGAGTTTTTAGGAACTGAAGTCAGGATGATAAGGGATAGTAGCAAACAAAGAGTTTTTTTTTTAATTTATTTATTTTCATCGTAAGTTACATTGCACCACACAATCTATATAACATACAGCTAAACTATAATTTAATCAAACAGAAAAAAACACTAGAAATTACTACATTATATGGAACAAAAGAAAAGAAAAAAACAAAACAAATTACTCTGTTACTGTTATGGGGAAACAAATGAATTATTATTTACAAAATGTATATCAGTATTAATAGCCGGGCAGTTTGTTAAATTTAAACTTTATCTAATTGGCGGTAAACAGTTCTAGAGTCGGTGAGTAATCGACTCTTGGTCATCCATATTAACAGATGCATTACTAGTACGTGCCAATCCTTAAGGGAGCGGGTTACCAAAATCAGCAGAAAAAACACGATGGAATTATAGGTCACGTTGGTCCTCTCTGAAGCTGGAAAACTTCCTTGGCCGACCCTATCCACGACACAGCAGAGGTTGTACGAAATTTATCTATGGCTTAAATTAAAGATTAAAGATCTTGTGTGTAATTAAAGATTCAAGAATTTCGTACCAATTGTTAAAATGGACATAATTCTTTTCTCATTATGATCTGTTTAGTGAAACCGTTAAAAAAACTCTTTGCCGTAACACTATGTTCGTTAAATTTAAAAGCAATACATTTCACAATTTTTCAAATAAGCGTTAAGGAATGCAACTGCAGCTCAGTAAATAAGGCCTATTGTTTTTATGTTTAGAAAAAACCTCTTTAAATTATGGTGCTGAGAAATACTTTTACAACAAAGTTATTGTTTTCGTTTAATTGGCCTAACTCGTGCATTGTCATTTGCGAATAACCAATTAGCGTAAAGTCGAGTCAACAACGTGGAACATTCTCAAATGCCACGCGAAATGATTGAGAAAGATCAGAGGTGACGTTAATAGTATCAATTAGAGTTTCATTGTGTCGTTCACAGGTAAGCCGCCGTGGTGAGACGTAAGAAGTGTTCACCGGGCTCGCCCTTTGGAGTTGATAGGTTTCTCTACATTAGTACACACTATAGAGTGGTATTGTGATTTTTGTAGTAGTTTCGAAAACAAATAGATTTAATATAAAAGCTGCAGCTGTTAGCAGGTCTTAAGAACACATTAGGACGTGTAAAAATTCAGTCTGTCCTATGAACATAGAGGTTGTAATGTTTTCGAACTTACAAACGAATTTATCACGACTAAAGTAGATAGTAATTATAGTGTTTTTTTAAACAAATAATTTAAATCAACAAACAAGTAAGCTTCGCTTATGTTGAAGCCATAGTAATCATGCTCGAATATCAAAAAGAATCGCTGATCATCCTCAGAATCATTAGTATATTGTTTTATTGTCGACTCACGTATTACTTTAGCTGTCTTTTATTGTTGATTTAATAAATTTGTTTCATTATTATTATTGAAATTGAACAGTATTAACTGGTATTATAAAGAATCAGAAGCATCATTGTCTATCAGTTTTAAAAAGTTGTTTTAGGTTCAGTGCTACGATGGTCTACGACAGGGCTACGATTGACAATGACGCGTAAAGGGGGGTTTATGTCAACTCCTAT